GCATGTGGAGAAAAAGGAACTCTCCTACACCACTGGTGGGAGTGCAAACTGGTCCAACCACTATGGAAAGCTGTGTGGAGGTTCCTCAGTCTACTAAAAATGGAGCTTCCATACGACCCGGAAATTCCACTCCCAGGGATCTACCCAAAGGGCACAAAAAAATTGATTCAAAAGAACACCTGTACCCCTATGTGTATTGCAGCACTATTTACAATAGGTAAAACCTGGAAACAACCCAAATGCCCAAAAACAGATGACTGGATCAAGAAGATGTGGAATATATACACCATGGAATAGTATTCAGCATTCAAAAAAGATAAACTCATGCTATTCACAGCAACGTGGATGGAGCTAGAAGGAATTATGCTCAGTGAAATAAGCCAAAAGGAAAAAGAAAAATATCAGATGCTTTCACTTATAGCAGGAATATAGGGGAGCCAAATAAGACATCAGTGTAAAAAAATAATAACAGTACAAAACACAACAAAGCAAAATGGACAATTATAAATCAGAGGCATCCTGCAGGGAAAGAGGAGGGAGAGGAAATGGAGGGAGGGAGGGAGGAGCACAGGGGACTGAGGGGATGGTGCACGGGTGCCTTGGGGAAGGAAACTCTATGGCGACTACACATGAGGGGGTGGGGGAAAGCAAATATTGTTTAAAAATGTAAACAACGAAAAAATATAAAAAATATTAAAAAATTAAAAAAAAAATTGAGTTTTTAAATCAGGTTTGTGCTTAAAAGATCACTCTGACTTCAGTGTGAATAGAAAGTCAGAAGGTGGGTGAGCAGGTAGGCGCGACAGTACAGGCGAGGAGAGTCTGTTCAGATTAGACATGCAGCATCTAAGACGTGAGGAGCACATAGAAGAGATCTAGGCAGGGTAAATGTTCAGGCCTCAGGCTCAGAAGGGGGTGCTAAGTGGCTGACTGTCACTCACAATCCTCAGCACAGGGGCACTGGGGGACACCATGCAGGGAGAGAAAATTCTGAGTCTTGAGGATCCTCTACTTAAAGAATGCCCAGAGGAGGAAGATGTGGCAAAGAAAATCAAACCGGCTTGTTGAATACTAGAAGCTAGCAGCAAGAATAGAGACTATTTCAGAAAGTAGGGAGACACTTGCTAATTCAGCTGCAGGGTTAGGTAATAGAGGGCAGAAGGTGTGCTTCTGTGTCTACTAGTTACCACGGGCGACGGGTGGAGCTGCTAAGTGCAATGAGGAGGACAGGAACCTGACGAAAGTGGGAAAACAGAATAAGATTGGGTAGAAAACTTTGGAGGAGTTTTGTGAAGATAAAGGGACCAGAAGGGCGAAGGAATGCACATTCCTGGGAGGTTATTTTGTTTATGTTGGAGTTTACATCAAGTTTATATTTTTAAATGATGTATTCTCACAGAGGAACAGGCAGACAGTAGAGATGGGGGTGGCCCAGGGAGGCCTCGACAGTTGATATATTGGGGGTCCCTAAAGGGGATTACCGTCCATATCTGACATGCATCTGCATTTGAAGGAAAAACCACCGTTTCATTTCCTCCCTTGAACTCAGAGGGAAGTGGCAAAGGATAAACTTAGGTCAGGGAGCTTCTCAATCCTACCGTGAGAAATGAATGCTTTGTCATCTGATGACTTTTAGTTTCTCTTCCTTTAGGGGGCCATTCTATGAGCAGTAAAGGGAGCAGAGGGTGAGTTCACAGCTGGGAGTGAAGAAAATAATTATTGCAAATATGTAGAAAGCAAACAGGCAGGGAAACACTAAGATTGTAAGGAGTCTCCCAAATGAAGTTGATGAACATGAATCAATGGAATTTTCCTTCCATTTCTTCCAGCAAACTCATCCAATTCCTGCCAAACAGTCTTAGACTCAAAGAGGATTTTCCCTTGTAGGGAAAAGATTTTGTCAACCTTTTTAGGTTCCCTGGCTGAGTCTGAAAATTAAAATGACAAAGAGAGAATAACAGGAGAAAGTATACACATTTATTTATTCAATCTAAATTTTACATGGCAAGGGAGACTTCATAATACCTCAGAAACAGGGTCTGAGTATTTTTATGCTAGTTGTGATGAAGAAGGGGTAATGTATAAATATGTGTATAAACATGATAGGTCAGAGAGTAGGACAAAAGCAGGGTAAACTGCAGGAACTTTAATAAGGCCTATTTGTTTAGATACTTCTCAGAGTCTCTGTCTTGAAATAAGGATTCTCCTTTATTCAGGTAAAAGGAATATAGCCCTCATACAAGGTCTTGTGATCTGTGTCAGCGAAGAAAGGTCAGAGAGACTTTCTTGCTTCTCCAATTTGCCCAGATTTCTTCAGCCTAAAATATTCCATATGTCAAGGTGCTACATTTTGGGGTGGCATGTCCTGAACCCCATCACCATCCTCTCTACTGCAAGTCACTGTGTTGGAAGTCCTTACATTCCTCTTCTTCAAAGAAGTTACCACATCACTGTGATATCTGCTTAAATTTCTTTCTCCCCAATTAAAATTTAAACTCACTGAGGAAACTGACTGTTCAGGCTTAAGCATTTCAGTTGTATTAACCTCGAGAGTACTTAGGGCAGTGTCTCAATACATGACAAAGACAGAAATGAAAGGAACTCAGAATGTCATTTTTCTCTTCCAAGGGTACAACAATATCAAATAAGGTATGGACAGCCGAGTGGTTGATTATAGATACGTGAAAAACACAAGAAACAAAAAAACCTTCCCTAGAAGCTAGAAACTTCTGAGTCACTTGTAGAAAAGGAAGTGTCTTCAAGGACTTATTATCCTGAGGCAATAATCAACCACAAATTCTACCTGAGATTTGTTTGATGACAAGTGAGATACAGAGTAGAGAAGTCTCCATTGTTTTATAAAAATTGAAACTTCAATGGAGTTTTCGCTTCTGCTCTTAGCTTCCTCTCAGTAACAGCTCCCCATAAACATCACTTTATCTTAGATGAATGACAGGAACCACAATAACCTCAAAAGACTGGCTTCCCACCCAAGCACCCACATAAAAATACCTTTGGAAATCTGTGAGCACACATGGAAGATGGTTGTCCCACATGATTTCCTTAGTTAGAATTTATGTCTCATTTCCAATGGTGTTTTGCCCTTAATTTACAATAATCTTGAGCCCCTGGTGTGCGTTTGTGTGTGTGTGTATACACATAGGAGTATGTACATATGTGTTAGGCAGTCACCAAAAAAAGTAACTTTCTAAAAATAATGCTCATTTAAAATATTCAATTAGCAGAAAAATTCAAAGAAAATAAGTAAAAAATTACTGATATGCCAATAAGAAATTTTATAATTACCATATGATAAACATCATTGCAGTTATTTATTTTTTTCAGATTTCATATAGGAGGATACACCAGTGGATAAACAGATGGATGGAAGGATAGATGTGTGGCTAGATGGGTGGATGGATGCATGAATAGAATCATCATTTGGTAGATAGAACTAAAGAAAGTAAGGAATGAAGGAAGAAAGGAGAGAGAGAGAGAGAGAGGTGAAGGGATAAATGAATGGATAAAAAGCTAAAAAGTAGATTGCACAACACAAGTTATTGGTTCATAAATTTACTATATTCTGCTGGAATTCAAAGGAAAGAAAATAAATTAAAGTATAATTAAAGGTTTACACTTTAATATTTCTTCACAAAAATATTTTAATTTTAAGATGTCTATAATTAGAGTTGTAAAAACATTAATAAACACCATAACTTAAAAAAACATTATTTTTAACTATTTCATCAATTTTGAATGATATTCCTTTTAATTCTCTGGTAATGTAACAGGGTGGTGCCCAGGAAAAAGGGGAGGGTCCAGGTTCCCCGCCCCACCCAAAGAAGGTGGAACTGAGTGGGGAGAACAGGAAGCAGGAAAGGAGACCCGAGAAGAGGGAAGCAGGATGGAGAGCCAGAGGGAGACCTGGAGGAGGCACATGGAGGAGAGAGACACATGAAGAAACTGCACTTGCTTCTTGGTCCTGGACTGGTTGAAATGGATGTGGGTGGGAGACCAGTGGGGAGGTTAACAACGTCACCTTTCATCTTGATTTTGATTTTGCTCTTTCCCCCCAGAACGATCTGGCTGTTTCTGATGCTTTTCTATGTGTTCCTGCTGGAAGGTGCTTTAGACTTGTGACAGGTTTTCGGGCCTTGCTCTGGGCCAATCATGTTTGGGTGGGTAGACTCTTACCCACAAGGGGATGGGTAACTTTGGGTGCTTGATTTAGAAACAATATTCTTTGTCTTTTCTTCATTGTTCACTAATTGTATTAAAGTTCCTTTTCATTAAAGGTCTTACACATTTTGTCTTAATGCAGAGATGGCAGAAGCTATTTAGAGCAGGTAGTTTGGCGGGGGTCCTGAGGTACCCCTCTCCCTGCCCTGTAACAGTATGAAATATAAAGAATTTGGAATATCTTCTTTTATTGCCCCATTTATATCTACTAATTCTTGTTGATCATATTATCATTATCAAATTAATAGAATTTTCTTCTTGCTTAATATTGATAATTTTCAAGGCTGTTTAATTTTAGTTAATACTAACTGACAAATTAGGACAAAACACAACAGAATTAAGTTTACACTGAGAAAAATATGGTGGTTGTTAGAGGGGAAAGGGAAGGGTAGTTAGAAGGATGATAATGGTGAATTGTAGTAGAAAATTAGTGGGTGCAATATGGTATCTACTGATATCAAGAAAAGAATTAATTCAATGATCCTTTTGAATCTTGAGGTTAAAATTTTCCTACTGATAGGATATCTTGTTTTTACATAAATATATGCTTTTTAAAGACGACATCTGATCAGTATCTAAATATGGGCAGCAATTGTGATGCTCTTCCTAAAAATCAATTCCATTTATAAAACACCTTAACTTAAAAAATGGAAGAAATAAAGCTCAATATCAATATTTCCAAATTTGGGTGAAAGTTGGGAGAAAGCATCCAAAGAAAATCATTATTACATTGAAATAACATTTTAAACATTTTGACTCACATCACGTGAAGAACACAAGCTTTCACTGTTCTTTGGGCCCAGGAGTTTTTTCATGTTCTCCTTTATGTTTTCTTTTCTCTGTTGTCTGAAAATTTTCTCCTGATCACACAGAGCCATACTGAACCGGAGGTCTGGGGAAGAGCTGTGTGCACAATAAACAGGCATGAATTTACATATAACTTATTACAACATATACTACAATAACAGGCAATAAGCAGTGGTCCCCAGTGGCCTTGTAATCGATCCATCCCTGATAGCTACAGTGATCAAAGGTCATGGATTCCTTGAAGCTATTTCCTAGGAAGGGATCTAAAACAAGAGTACTAAATGATGACTCTTTTAGATCAGATGTTCCAAGGCCTGTTTTTAGAAAACAAGGAGTAAAAGATGTTTTTAAAAAAAAAAAATCACAACAGTCATCTTTGGTATGAAGATATTTATGACAGTAAAGACTTTGGGAAATGTTTCAGAAAAGAAATCCATTTCATGTAGATTCAAAAGCTTACTTGATAAAGAATCGCTTCCCCTGTGTCCCTCACCCTTTCTCCCCTACAAGACAGAAACCCAAAGAGACTGTGTTCGAGATGCATACTTGCAGAAATATCAATAAATTACCTTGTCTAATGGATGTCTCCCTATGACAAAGAAAGGAATTTCTAGTAGAATCGTAGACAACCACAAATGAGTTTACCTCTGGAGTATTTTAGAATCTTTGAACTAGAGTCTCTTTCTGATAATGATCATTCCTGAGACACCTAAACCACACCAGAAACCATGGTAGGAATTATACATGTATTACTGCCACAATTATAGGAATAAATATTGCACATTAATATGCAATAGACTATTGTTTCTGCAAATTGTTTTTACTGATCCAAAAATCTGAGGCTCTGATGAAAGTCTTTATCACAAGAAGAAAAATTGAGGACAAATGTTAGCCTGACTTACATAGTGATCACTTTGCAATAGATAAGAATATTGCTGCATTATGCTTTCATCTGAAACTAATGTAGTGTCATGTTTCAGTTATATCTCGATAAACAAAAAATAAAAACTAAACTCTGAGAGGTTTGATCACAGGACAAATGGGTGATGTACTTACCACCATGTACCAATGCCACACAAAGACCGGTCCTAATACTGAACTCTAAAACCATCTACTGAAGTACTGAATTTAAAAATAGTATATATAGGGCCTCCCAGGTGGTGCAGCAGGTTGAGCGCAGTCCTGTGAAGTTGTCTGCGCCCTCTGCAGCTCGGGTTCGATTCCCGGCCAGACAGGGAGACACCCACATGGCGTGACAGACCTCTCCTGACTCACCTGCTGCTTTATAAATAAAATAAATCTTAAAAAAATAAAAATAGTATATATAAAGACAAACTATTTTAATTTTTAAAAAATTATTTATTTTCTTATATCATTGTTTGTTTTGTACAATATTTGATTTCTCCCCTCAGGTGTAGGACCCATGGTTCTTCCACATCACCTGTGAACTGTCACCATAGTCCCTTGTGTTCTTTCCTCCCCTGTTTTGACCCTTCTCCCTCCCCCTCCCCCCCACCCCCCCCCCCCCGCCGGTTGTATGCCTTAGATCTATGGTCAAGTTTCAAATTTACAAATTTTATTTATTTATTTATTTTAAAGATTTATTTATTTATTTATTTATTTATTTATTTATTTATTTATTTATTTATTTATACAAGCACTGGGTACAGTCAGAAGCGCGGGAGGGTGAGAGAATTCACCAGAGTCAGAGCAGAGAGCAGAGCAGGCAGACGGATGAAGTACACTGCTGAGGGGAGCAGCGGGCAGGAGAGGTCTGCGTGCCATGTGGGACCCTCACCTGGTGGCTGGGGATCGAACCAGTGCTGCAGAGGCTGTGGGCAGCTTCGTAACCCAGTGCTCAACTGCTGCGCCACCGGGGAGGCCCAAGTTTACAAATTTTAAAACCAACTCTTGAAAACTGACTATGGATCTGAAGTATTGGGGGGGCGGGCAGGAGGGAAAAGGAGGAATGAAGAGCATAAGGGACTATGGTGGAGGACTATGGGTGCTTCGGTAATGGGAAAATTATGGTGACTACATTTGAGGGGAGAAATCTATAGTTTAAAAAAAGTGAAGAAGTATGTAAAATAACGGTAGTTCAATAAAAATATATTATTAAAAAATTAACAAGTAAATAAGTAAAATAGTATACAAAAAACCACTAATATTCTATGATGTGCTATGAATAATCCAAAATGTAGAAAGCCTATCACTAATAAAATATGATCTTGCTAACATTTATAAAAGTCTTTTCTCTAAGAATGAATTAAATTTAAGTCTATCTATTTTGAATTAGAAATTCAAACTAATTTCTACTTGGTCATTATATTTCTTCTTTGTGAACTATAGAACAAGAGATGTCAATCCTCTGGGATGTGTATTTTTTTTTTTTAAGATTTTATTTTTATTTATTTATACAAGCACTGGGTACAGTCAGAAGTGCGGGAGGGTGAGAGAATTCTACAGAGCCAGAGTGGGGAGCAGAACAGGCAGACAGAGGGAGGACACTGATGAGGGGAGCAGTGGGTGCGGCAGGAGAGGTCTGTGCGCCATGCGGAACACTCGCTCCGCAGCCGGGGATCGAACCGGCGCTGCAGCGGTTGTGGGCAGCTTCGCAGCCTAGCGCTCAACCGCTGCGCCACCAGGGGAGGTCTGGGTTGTTTATTCTATGGTAATATTTGATTGTTACAAATAATATTTTAATTACTACTTGCTAAAGAACAAATTAAATAACCCAAAAAAGAAGAGGTATGATTGTTACTGAAAAATGTAACTGTAAATATTTAATTTCCATGAAAAATTTAAAAAATAGTATGACTAATAATTTTAAAAAATGTATTGAGGCAATATTTAAAAAATATTTTAAATATCTATTTTCTGGAAAATGACTGTGACATTGCTATTCTCATACATTTATTTTGGGAATGCATATTCACAATATACTTTGAAAAATGGTCAGGCAATGAACACCAAAAAGAAATTACGTATGTGTGCACCCTTTTACCCCGTAATTGTATTTTGGGATATCTACTTTAAGTAACTGAAATTTTTGAAAATTTCACTTAATCATAATATTCAGTAATAAGGACGTGGTCATTAAATTATATATCAAAGATTTGGATTACACAATTATTAATTTTGTTTATTATAAAGATTATGTAATGAGGGGAAAGAGTAAGATAGTGAATTAACATTTTTTTTAAGCCAAGTCTTGGAGAAAATTCTTTTTCTAGTACTATTATTATTACAATATATTAGGTTTGGTGTCGTTTAACCATTTTAAAAATAAAAATCCCACCCACACAATTGTATCTCTGAATCCCTCTCAATTTCATTTCCACTTCCTTTCCTGCTCCTCAGAGTAAACTATTTCCCTAAGCTTGCTTTTTTATTATTCTAATGTATTGATTTAAAATTTTGCAATATACATGCAGTCTTTACATAACATGTAAAATCATTTTATAGACTTAAAATAAATGCTAGAAACAGTATATATTCAGTAAAATTTTTTTCCATTTTGTTTTTGAGGTTCATTTGTTTACATAAGTAGAACTACTTCAAAATATTTTTACTATTATGGAACATTTTCATTATATGAGTATAGTATAATTACCCATTAACATTAAGGTTGCTTCCAGTTTTTGAAACTATCGCTAAAAGTAACACTATGAGCATGTGGAAAAGTTTCCTAAAAATATCCTCTTTAGAAAGAACATCTGATTGAATCATTACAATAGAGCTGCTTATAAAGTACTCTTATTTTACATGAGTAAAAATGTAATTAGAAATTTTTCAGCTTTAACGTATTTAGTGGGGGGAGATTTAAATCCAGTTTTTATTCTGGGATCAATCTTTCCTATAATATGCTATACTGATCATTATTTTACATTAAGTACAAAAAGCAGGAATAAAAAAAAAATCTATGAACAAAACAATGAATATAGCTGTTCAGAGAGATTAGTCCAAAAATAGCTAGAAGAAAAATCTCATTTATTTTATTTTTTGAATTGTGTCTTTTTTTATTGGGGGAGTATTGGTGTACAACATCGTATGATTTGGAGGTGTAGGTTCACACCACTTCAAGTATATGTGACCACATCTACCATACCCAATTGGGCCCTTTCACACTTTACTTCACACCGTTTTCATCCCCATCTGATAGCCTCAATTTTCTAGAGGAAAGGCCCTTTCTAAAAGTTCCTACCCTGACATCAATTATCTAATCACCAAGTGAAAAAATGGAAGCAAAGAATGGTATATTTACGAGTTTTTAAAAATGTCATTTAGCTAGGAGAGAGTACAAGAAAATGGGAGTGGAGAAGAACACCAAGCTGTCAGGATTATTATTTCACATATAAAAATACATTCTTTAAATCAATCAAAATAGGTCTGGAGATCACTCCCAATATTTTCTATCCAGTGAAATAAGTGCACTTACCAAACTTCAAGAGACATTTCCAGAATCATTTCAGTGACCTAAAATAGATGCATTGATCAGATTAGATGATAAATGGACATGTATTACATAGAATGCAAAGTCAAAATAATTTTTGAGTGCCAGATTACTTTTAACCTAATAAAACACCTAAAACAAAAAGTAAGAGTTCCATTACAAATATATTTCAATATATTTTTCTTGCTATTTTTCATAACATAAGTTACTTAACGATCATGCCAAAAAAAAAAACCATAAAAAAATAAAACAAACATAAAAAGGCAATTCTTATGTTTGCCAATAAATTTCATGTTTGCTAAAATCTTAGCAAATGAAAGAATTGTCTTTTCATGGTGCTTTCTGTTTTCACTAAGATGAAGTAGTTCAGTTCCATAATCATCGTTCCCAAAACATGATGATTGCCTGAAATCTAAGAACTATTGAGATGTTGCATTAATTACTGAGGAGCTATCCCTAGGCTTTAAATTCAAAGGCAGAAGAGGCTGGGAAGTTAAAAAAAAAAGTGTGTGTAAAAATTCACAAGACTACATGTGGTAAGTGTGGGTTGGAGTAGGCAGGGCACCAAGCCGAGATGGGCAGTGGCAATCAGGGGCCAGTTCACTTGGTCCACTCAAGAAATATCTGCCAATGGGATGTGGGGCTTAGGCCTTAATTTTTTTCAACATGTATGAGCCAACCAAATATATTGGAGGACCCCATCATTCTAATGGTGCAATTTTTGTTTAATGGAAAAGACTGACTAACAATATCTACAGCACAGAAGAGATATTTAAAGATGTCCTTTCAGACACTTTAAATCTTTTGTATAGAAAGAACTTCTCAACATTATCTATGCCATTATTCACGAAAAAATGTAATTTTAGATTGTTATGAGGACCAAATGAGAAAATACTTTGGAAGTTGCTGCATAATTATAAGCTGCTGCTATTATTTTTTTATTATATCAGTTACCATAAGAATATAGAATGAGGCCTCCCTGGTGACACAAGGGGTTAAACACAGTACTGTGAAGCTATCCGCAGCCTCTGCAGCACAAATTGGGTCCCTGGCCAGCCAGGGAGCTACCCACATGGTACAGCAGACCTCTCCTGATTCACCTGCTACTCCCCTCAGCAGTGTATTCCAGTAGATCTGCCTGTTCTGCTCCCCACTCTGTCTCTGGTGAATCCTCTCACCCCCCGCCCCCGCATCTCTGGCCTGTACCCCCCTTCTTGTATGCATAAATAAATAAATCTTTAAAAAAAAGAATATAGAATGTATCTGTTCAATACCTTCAATATGAAGATAATTTTAGAACCAACATAAAATGCTATAGATTATTGGGGCTCTGTTTACCTTTTGATTTCTGGGATGGAAAAAAAAAACTAGAAGGAACTTTCCTAAAAGGTTAAAATAAGTTAATTGATAGCTCTTAGGTTAGAATTTAATGAGTAAGAAAAAGGAATTGAAACCCTCAGTACAAAAACTTGCCTCTCCCACTAAACTGTAAACTCTGTCTTACATAGGCCTCTGTTACTAACTCATTGCACAGCAATTGGATACAATATATCCTCAGTAAAAATTGTTGAATCATGGTGCACATGTATATGTGTGTGCGCACATGCATGTGTGTATGTGTGTGGCAGATCAAGCAAAATTTTTTTTTTTTTTTTTTTGTCAAGAAACATGTAATTACTACCAGAGATAAAATCATGACGGTCTAACCCACACAGCAATTCCTATGCCTGGAATTCCATTAACTTTTATTTTTCCAAGGAGCAAATAAATATTACTTTCAAGTCAATAAAATAATCTAGAATCCCAGTACAAACAGGATTATATATGCCCAGATGAATCATAGTTCAACTATAAGTCAGAAGGTGATTGGATTTAAAACAATGAAGGTGGTTGCTGTCATATATCAATGAAAGCACTGTTCACACCACATCCCACATGTTATGTCTATTTCCTACTTCCAAATTTTATTTGGAGTCTTTCCCAATGAGGGTTTGGAAAACATTTTGTATTAAATGAGGTTACTCTGGATATTTAGTAAGAAAAACATGAGCAGAACAGCCTTATTTTCCCCTCCAAAAATAATATCTGAAAGCTGACATCAAAGTGAAATTAGATTTAATGTTTTTATCTCCAGAGGACAGAAGTACCATGGGATAATGGAAATTAAATCCAGTAAAATGTATTTTTTTCCTAACAAGTGGAAAGATGTGAAAGCTGATATGAACCCGCTTATCAAATGAAGACCTTCATGACAGAAAGTATTCAGGAAAAGGCTAGTTTCCCAATTGGCAGATCCCTAAGCAACCATATATTAAGGTATTCAATATCTGAATATCTTTAATGCCTACTTGTCCTGAAAACTTAATAAATTAAAGGAAAAACAATGGTGCTGTGTTCATGGCCCTATTTGTCTTCTCCAGAAAACGTCGCTTCTACATCCATCTATGGCATTCTCTTAGCTGAGTCATTCGTGATCCTAGACAGATTGATATGATTCTTAAATGAAGGCTGGCTGAGAGACAAGAAGACAGAGGACTTTTCTGGCATTTGGGAGTATTACAGAATGTGTTGGCATGGTTCTTGTCACACAGACTGGGTGCCTCACTTCCACATGTTGCTCAAGTGAATTCCTCACAACAGAGGCCATTTTAAACTCCTGCACTAGATGTACTATGTTCAGACATGCTATGAAGATTGACATTCACAAGCTCTCTGCGCCTTTTTAGCTGGAACATGTCATTCGGATAAAATAGCTACAAAAATATGTACTTCCTATGAGGCATTGAACAATTATTGTAAACTCCTTCCCACACACTGTATAAAGCATTTCTGCATTTACAATCTTCCAGGTTGCTTCATTATCAAGGCAATTAGAAGAAAAGGTAACCAAAGCTCCCCGCTCGCCCCAAAGCCATGATACATAGCTAGGAGCCAGAGCAAATGAAACGAACTCCATCTCTTGCAGGAATTGTAAAAGTTAGAAGGAGGCTGTCCTCATCATATATTCTTGTGGAAAACAACAATCTCTTCTTTGAATTTCACATAGAGAACAATTTCGGATGTGTACATTGGGAGACATTCAGTTGGAAGAGGGACAAGAACAGGGGAACTAGAGGAAGACTGGCTACAAGCTACATCGAAAAATAAAAATTCTGTATGATCCAGTTATCCCACTTCTGGGTGTTTTTGCATAGAAAACACCAATTCAAAGAGATACGCCTATCCTCATGTTCATTGTAGCATTTATTCACAATAGCTAAGGGTTAGAAACAACTTAAGCATTATCAGTGCAATTATCGAGATAAAAAACATGTGGTATAAATATCCAGTGGAATACTACTGGGTTATAAAAAAGATAAAATCCTGCCATTTGCAACAACGTGGATAGACTTAGAGTAAAATAAGTCAGAGACAGAAAGACAAATACCATATGATTTCACTCATATGTGGTACATAAAGAAATGAATGAACTAAATAAAGTGAAAATAAACTGTTGGATCATAAGACTAAATTAGTGGTTATTAGAGGAAAGCAGGGAGGATAATGAGTAAATCAGGTTCAAGTGGTGAACTGTGTGGTGAAGGATGGAAATAGACTTTTAGTGGTGAATGAAAACATATACAGACGATCATTGTGTTCACCTGAAATGTATATATATATATTATATTCTATATATAAAGTTATATATATAAAGTTTATTAATATGGAAAATATTACATACCAATATATATACTATAAATCAATGTTACATCAATAATTAAAAAAACTTTGTTTTCAGTATCAGATATTCTCTGTATCATTACTAAAGCTACTGAGGAAAAAGTCAAAGCTTGTTTATATAATTTTTCCTTTCTGTAACTCAGAAAGAGAATATCCACATTCTGACATTGGGAATTTGAGCTCTGTTACTGTCTGACTCCAGTGTACCTGTTCTTCCTCCATGCATGAATGCCCCGTTCCCATCAACTCATCGAGACACTGTTTCTGGAACATACTTTTCCCCTCTAGTCCCAAAACTATGAGTAGCTCAGGTAGTTCTCTCTACTAGACAACCTTCTACCTCTTGAGTGATCCAACCACATAAGTCTAAGCCACTGATGTCCACCAAAACCCCCTGTAAGCTTTTTGCCTCTCTGTCCTCATCTCCACTGCCCCACCTACTGCTCATCATGTTCCTGCTACTCAATTGGCCAGCAAACCTCTACTCAGGACCTTTCTATTCAGAGTGCCCTCTGCCCTCAGGTATCATCAGAGAGGCTTAGGTGAGAAGAACTCCACCTCTTCTAGGAATTATAAATATCCGTGACTACATTATAGCTGCTACAAATTTATAAAAGATTTAAGTGTTTATAACATTTTGGGGACTACATCTGTATTTTCTTTCACACTCGTATACATAACCCCCTTTCTGCCTTTCCGAGTTTATTTAGCACTTATTACTAACACTAACACAAGTACCTTTTCCTGATTCATCTTGCTTCTTGTTTATCTTACTAAGCATACATTTAGCAAGGATAGCGATTTTTGTTGGTTTTGCTTGCTGCTGAGCAAGGAAGAGCAAGGAATGCCTAAAGATTGCCACATAGTAGGTGCTCAATTGTTATCTGTGAGCTAAATGAATAACTTGTTATAACTCTCATTACACATATTGTCTGCATGATTTATTTGTCACAAAATTTTAATATGTGAATACGGAACTGTATTTAATGATATATGAAGTGTTTAGGGGTGGTAAAGCGTATCAATGGTCTGTAATTTGTTTATAAATGTATCAAAAAAGTAAGATGGTTTGCTAGGAGGATAGAGAGAGATGTGGCAAAACAAATAGAGTAGAACTAATTGTGGAATTTAGGAGGGAGTAGTATGGGTGTTTGCTTTATAAACCTTTCAGCTTTTTAAAAAAAGATTTATTTATTTATGCATACATGAACTGGGGTACAGGCCAGAGGTGTGGGGGGTGAGACGATTCACCAGAGACAGAGTGGGAAACAGAACAGGCAGACTGACTGAAATATACTGCTGA